TGAGAATGAGCTCACTGCTCTACACCTCCCACTTGGTTTCATATAATACAGGTGTTAATCTTGCTTTAATCTTGCTTAGGTAACTGTAGCTTTAAAAAGCTGGTCTTTTTGTTGTAGTGTCGATTTTCATCTTGCTTGTGCATCGCTGTTTTTGAGTTGATGACGGCAAAAGGGGAACAACCTCGTCAGATCAAAATAACATTGTAAAGAATCTAAGGTGGTTTAGAGGATTCTACAGCGTCACCAGACGGTGATCTCGCCTCGGCACGTTAGTGATCCTTACAGAACAAAAACACTACGGTATGCATGGGTGTAAAAAGAATAACCAATCTGCCAGTCAGCAAGAACAAAACATCGTTTACTTCTTTTCTACAAAATTTGTTCATCGGCTGATCAGTTGAGATGGAAGCCTTTTTCATTGGTTGCAGTCAAGAGGCGCTCACGCATGATTTCCACAGAACTGTAATCAGGCAGCTTCAGGTAATGAACACAAGTGTTCACGGACGGATAGCTGCCATCACCACTATCCACTTTGCGAACAACTGTGAGACGCGGATGCAAATTCATCAGGCCACCTGCAATCAGTGCGGCTTCTTAAAGACAAATAGATTTAGAAAGTTTAAAGTATGATATTTAGCAAAATAGTAAAGAAAGAACCATAAAAGCAATAAATAACGGTTATGTTTCAAAAGTCGACAAATAGTAACTGTGAGCTATGCAACAAACCCGGAGGCAACGATGAACAGCCGGTGGCAAACTGCAAGAATGATTTGCGCTCGCTGGCACTCATTCCCACCAGTACATCAACAAAACGCAAAAAACCCGGTGACTCCTTTGTGTAGCCAAGCTTTGGCTCCGTAAAATTAATAATGTCTTCGCGAGTCCATTTTGGACACTGATCGCCTGACAGCAGTGTCTAAAATAATATCTGGATCACAAAAGTAAGGTAAAAACTTAACTGAAAACAATCCTGAGCACTTGGAAACACATAAGAATACAGTTTGTACACATGATGAAACAGACTAAAATACGTTGAAAGCTTCTGGAGCTATGTCTTGATTCTAAGGCAAACCTGCAACTCGCTTGGAGCAAACATTCGTAAATACCGCAATGGAAAGACAAGATTAAAGCCTTCACGAAATGCCTCCAACTGAAAAAAATAACTTTAATTTAAAAGCTAATGACGTTATTAACAGGAGGGTTTCTAAAATGAACACTTGAGGAATTCAAAAAATCGACTGTGGTGGTAATGATTTTCTGCCGGAACCAACTGGTACTCCTGCACCATGTTCCATCTGTTCATTCATACGAGTGGTTAAAACTGTTTATGCTTAGCAAGGCCGTATGAGCCGGAGAA